TGTGTGTGTGTGTGTGTGTGTGTGTGTATGTGTACTTGCAACCAGCACTTCCTGAACTCTTTTTTCTTTAACTGACAGTAACTTTTAAATGACTAACTTATGTGTTACTTTTGCATTTATGGAATAGGATATTATATTCCCTGTTAGTAGTTGTGCAGAATTTTTTAAACATCTAAAAAAAAAAGGCGCTTTTTACCCAAAATAGTTCCCTCATTTCTTCACCTTGTTGGTCAATGGCTTGCAGTAAAGTAATTTCCCCACTTATGGCATGAGTGGTAGTATAACTACATTGCTAGAACTGTATATATTAGTATGAGTTAGTGTAGCCTACAGCGCTAGGACTATATATGTATATAGTTTATATATGGGGAGAGTGCCGGGCGTGGTGGCGCACGCCTGTAATCCCAGCACTTGGGAGGCTGAGGCAGGAGGATCGTTGTGAGTTCAGAACCAGCCTGGGCTACAAAGTGAGCTCAAGGCCAGCCTGAACTGCATAGCTAGACCCTGTCTCAAAAAGACACACACACACAAAAATTTTATATATATATGGGGGGGGAGGGACGGAGTAGTTTCTCTAGCCAAAAAATAGCTGCCTGCAGTTTTAAACTGACACAATAAAGTTTATGTTTACAAATGACTCATATCTAAAAAAGTGTTGAGACTCTTCATCATAATAGCAGTGAGACTTCATTTATAGTCAGTAGGGAGGGCATTAACTTCCTCACCCGATTTAAAGGCTTCATGGTAAGGTTTTGGTTAGTTGTGGTCTTCGTAATTTTTTATTTGAAGCTAACTTCTACTAGCAGCTGGTAATATCAAATTGAAGAAAAAAGGAAATATTTTGGGCTATCAGTATAATTGGGAAATTTATAAATCTTTTATGAGTTATTATACAAAAATATGCATGTATGTTGTGTGTCTCTATATATGATGTGTATATGCTTAGCAGAATGACCTGTGGATATAATTTTATTTTATTTTATTTTTTGGTACTGGAATCAAACTCAGGACCTTGTGCTTGCCACGCAGGCACGGTGCCGCTGAGCTGTATCACTGGCCCTAGAATTTTATTTTTGAATCAGGTTACTACTGGATATATTTTCTATTCCCACCTTTTGTAGCAAGCCACAAGGTAGCCTACATTTAAAAACAGATCAACTCCTATGCTATTTTCTGTGGAAATATTTTCATGGAGTAAGTTAATGAAAAAATGGGATTCACTTACCAGAAATACACATAAATTCAACTTAGAATGCCTTTACTAAGGATTTTGATGTGCCTAATACTAAAAATAAGTATTGCTCAGCATTTTTAAGTTAGTAATTTTAATTGAACATGTGTTTTCAATGGTGATCTCATTCTGCCACATGTCTAGTTCCTTTTATGTAAATTACTTAGTGGCTCAATTCTCCATAGAAGTAAATGTCTATGAAAGGTCTAGATTTTATTTATAAAGTGCTAATTATTTTCTGAAATACTTTCAGGTTAATGGGATTCAAATATTGATAGCCTCACCATGTACATGACTCTCTGGGAGCCTGGCACGAGATCTTATACTGTAGGAAACGACTGCACCTGTCTTAGGTGTTAGCAGAAGTATTCAAAACTCAGTTCAGAAATGATAGTAGACCACTTGTTACTGGATCCCATTTCTTTACAGGAACTTCTAATGTAACTGTTTTATTTTCTTTTCCAGATTTTTTTGTTGTATCTGTGATTATTTTGTACTTTTTCGTATTACTCATCATGTTGCATCCAATTGCCTTTGTTGACAAGGTTCTTGAGGTAAGGCTGACGCACACCGTTTATTACTTCTTGTCTCCAGGTTGATAGTCACTGGGTGGCAGCAGTGTGACAGTGACATATAGGGATACTCTGGTAGAACGTGAATTGTAAGCAGCCTCATGAGACTCTGGGCTTTGACACCAGAGTTCACACTCTGCCCCTCATGTGCCCTTCTTTTGTCACTGGGGAGAGAGGCGAGCTGCCTCCATTTCTCTTTCTTGGATCTCTTTCCCTTTTTTCTAAGGTGCAATGCAGTGACTGAAGGATACTCTAAAACAGACGAAGAGCACATTTATACCTGTGTAGTCTGTGCTTTTGGTTGCAGTTCCTGTGCAGAGGAACTAAATGCCCCTTGGGGTTTGAAGACAAAAAGGGCTTGGTCTCTGAACCTCATAACTTTGCTGCCCTGTATCCTGCTTGGGTGGTCTATACATGGCTGTCTTGGTCTATCATTTAGTGTTTCATTTTTGTCACTAAAAACTTCAGGAAGGGTGAAATACTTCCTGTACAAAAGGAAACACACGTATCTTTTAGTTGTAATAATAATGTAGTAATGAAGTAACGCTGTGAGTCCATCCTGCCCTTACTGCTGTCTAAGAATAGGTAGCATTAATCATCTGTACACCTTTCTCCAAACACTCCGAGGTATTTTTCCTTAAAGAGATAGTCTTACTTGCTTTTAACTTTATAAAAATGATATTTTACTATTTTTTTCCTTGGACTTGGCCATCGGCATTGTTTCTGAGATTATCTGTGTTCACATGTGTGTTTCATACTCAGTGGCAAGTAGTATAGGAGTATACTGGAATTTATTTCTTCGTTGGCAAATACTGTACTTGGGTCGTTTTAGTTTTTTCCTGTACTTACAATTCTAATCTGAACATTGTTTTACATATCTCCTGGTACATGCAGCATCAGTCATAATGTGCCAGAATAGAGGTAGAAGTAGTTCACCCCAGGAACAAACAGCAAACTGGGAGTGGTAGTGCACACCTGTGGTCCCAGTACACTGGGAGGCTGAAGCAGGAGGATCACATGTTCAAGCGTAAACTAGGCAACTTATCAATTTAGTGAGACCTTATCTCAAATAAATAGAAGGTAGGTAGGTAGGTAAGTCTGTTGGTTGGGCTGGGGCTAGGGCTCAATGCAAAGGCCCTGAGTTCAGTCTCCAGTACACACACACACACAAAGAAGAAGGCAGTAACAAAGCCCACCAAAAGTCCATCTGCTCTTAAATACCACCCTGTATGCTGGTAATTCCAAACAGTGTCAGTGGTAATGTCCCTTTCCCACTGCTGCCCACCCTGCTTTTACGGTAGCACCGAGAGACAAAGGTTGGCCCTGGTGGTTTCAGCACGTTTTCCACTTTTCCTGTGTGCCGGGTTATTTTCCACAGTGATCGCATCAGTTTATATCTGTTGCTATTATATTCATTTTAATTTGATTTGTAGTATTTTGAGATGGGGATCATATTTCTTTTTCTTTCTTTTTCTCCCCTTGTGAGTGCCCTTTTGCTGCAGTGTTACCTGCTCAGGGATTCCTCTGTTCTGTGTCAGTTTTCCATGTGCTCTGCAGACTGTTGGTCTGTTGGGGGCTCTGGGTTTTGTTCTTTAGTTTTCTTTTCTCTTTATACCTCATCATTCGAATGACTGTGACTTCTTGATGCAAGTCTGTGCAGAACCCCTGCCCCAACTCACACTGTCATTCATGCTGGACTTTTTAGCTGTTCTTGACCTTTTTCTCTTAAATTAAGTTTAGCTTGTCAGATACCAGGAAAAGCATTCTCAGAATTAATTAGAATTGCATGGAGTTTATCAGTAAGTTTGAGGGGGATTTGATTAGTTTCCCTTTCCATGAACAGGTATCTGTTTCTTCAGATATTCTTGCATATCTTTCAGGTGATCTGATAATTTTCTCCCAGAAGATTTTTATACTTTTTTGGTCAGATTTATTCCTGGAGTACTACAGTTTTTGTTCCTTGATCAGTGTTATCTGCTTAAAAGGACATTTTCTAATTCTTTGCTGCTGGTGTATTCAGTGCAGTTACTTTTGATATTCATCTTACATGCAGAAACTTTGTCACACTTTATTCTGACACATTTTAGATTTTCCAGGATTTGCTGTTTATATGAATTTTTGAACTCCTCATTCTTAACATTTCATAATCCTTACACCTCTCAGTATTTTTCATTTTAATGTATAGGTCATAATGATAGTGCTATCTTGTCTTTTATATATATATATATATATACACACACACACACACACACACACACACACACACACACATATACATATATATGGCGCTATATATTTCCAGGGTGTAGTCCGTCGGGTTAGTACCTTTAACATGTGGATTTTTTTGCTTTTTTTAATGTGGATGTGAGATCCCAGTGTTACCCAGGCTGGCCTTGAACACTCAGCTGCCCCACCGCCACCCTGACATAGCTGGGAGGACTGCGCCCCACAGTGCACTGCGGCAGTAATCGCTGTGTGAGCTTCCCCTGTGACGCAAACAGCGTAAAGGAGAAGGATTTATTTTGGCCGTGGTTTCAGAGGTTGCAGTCCATGTTGAGCCCGTTCCCAGGTGGGAACCATGTGGTAGAAGGGCCTGGCAGAGGATAGTGCTCACTTCCTGGTAGCCAGGAAGTAGAGGGAAAGAACCAGGGAGGAAAGGGCTGGGGACGAGATGTGCTGTCACCCCTCAGAGGTACACCCCAGGGACCTCCTTCCTCCAGTCCTGCCTCACTTCCCAACAGCCTGTTCAGCTGTGATCTCATCAGTGGGTTAACCCACAGGGTGATACTAAGTCCTTGTGACAGTCACCCTTCAGGGCTCTGTCTCACAACACTGCTGAACGGGGGACCAAACCCTCAGGTCTTTGGCAGACATTTGTATTTAACTGTAACAGCCACACAGGTCTTCTCCCAGCACAGAGGGGTGAATGACATTTGACTGATAGCCACTCATTAACTTTGTGTTCCTGTATTAAACCCAGTGCGATCATAGTGCCAGGTTGAGCGTGATGCACTCTTCTGAGCGCTCTGGTTTTGTTTTGGGTTTTGCCGCTATTGCATGAGTAAAATCAGCCTTCGTTTTCCTTTCTTGTACGTTCCTTACTGGTTTAGGTACTAGAGTTATATGCAGTGGGTGTAAAGCCGTGCCCCTGTAGTCCTGCTTACTCAGCAGGTTGAGGCAGAGTTGCTTGAACTTAGGGCTTAAGGCCAGCCTGACATCATAGTGAAACCACTTACCAAAAACAGTCACATGACCTTTATGGAGTGAGTATTCTGTGGTGTGGCTTTTTCCAGTGTGTATGAGTAATCCAACTTGGATAGATATTTAGGTTGTTTCCAGTGTTTACTACTGTAAATAATGCTGTGTTGCAAATTTTTGCACACTTCAATACAAATTTATATAATAGGTTAAGTAAATGGAGATGGTCAAAGTGTGTTAGGCTGTTGGTTGCTATAACAACATACCTCAGTAATGTGGAAAGAACAGGGTTTGTCCTGGAGGGTGGAAAAGTAAAAGGGCCAGGTGTCTGCGGGGCGTGTCACGTGATGAGGGAAGCGCTGAACTCACAGCTCAGTCTCAGGATCACTAACACCCGCCTCGCCCCCCAGCCCCCTGGTGAAGGTGCCTCTGCAGCCTGCTTAGCTCCCTGCCCATTACACTGGGGATCGGGTTTCAGTGTGTGTTGTGGTGCCATGTCCAAACCACGGCAGAGGGTGTCTAGAGTCTTCATGCTCACAAACACTGGGTTAGACCAAAAGTCCAATGGATGGGTGTCCGTAAACATTGTTTTCCTAGTGTTCCTTGACCTCCCCGCAGTACTGGACCATGACACCATCGCTGAGATGTGTTCTCTTGAGTTCTCTGATGCCTCGTCCTCTTCTGGCCTTTCCTTCCTGTGGGACTGTTCGTTCTTGTTCTGTTTTGTGTTCCAGGCCCTCTGCTTGCTCCTCAAGTGATGGTGTTCCTCACTTTTCCTGCCTTCTCCCTCTTCACTCTGTACCTCAGGTGATCTCACCTGCTGTCCTGGCTCCACCCCTCGCTGCCATCTGGAGACTGAAGACTCCCCATCTTTGTACCTGGCCCTGAGCTCTCACTTCTGAGCTTTAAACCCAAATAGCCAGTGACACTGAGTCTGTCACTATATATCCTTGACTTGGATACGTGGTGACAGACTCAGTCTCGACCCTGTCCACCTGTCCTTGTCGTTTTCCTTTTCTTAGCCAGTCAGCTGTTAGGTCCTTTCATGCCCTCACTCTCCAGGGCCCTCTTACGCTCCCGTGGCCTGAGCCTGGCTGATTGCAACAGTCTCCAGAGCACGCGCCCGCCTTGCCAGAGCCTCCAAGTTCTTTCCCCGTGTGTCGGCTGTGGTCCCTGGCGTCCAGTGGGCCAGCCTGGCTGCTTGGGAATGAGTGCGTGCTGACTTTCAGTTATGGGATCTTTCTCTTATTTTTTAGGCCTTAGAAATGAATCAGGTTTTACAGTGAAATTTAAATTGTAACTCTTAAATTGTATATGTTTTTGTGAATTTGCCTTTACAGTAATGTGAGGTTTGATCCGTACTTCAGACAGGTTTTTATTTTTACCCTAAGGCCTCATTAGAGTTTGTGATCTAGTGTAGCAGATCTGTTGTTGAATCTGGGGGTGGAGTTTGGCACTGAGGTCAGCCACTTAACTCATGGCAAGTTTTTTTAAGGTTACATCATTACATTAAACTTGAATATAATCTGTACCTCTGGCAAAGTAATAGTGTATTTAGAGATGCAGTAAACTAGAGATTCGGTAATTTAGAAACCGGGATGTCTGCATACCCAACTTGGGCCTTTCTTGTCTTGCAGCTCGTGTGTGTCCCCTATGAGTGGCGCATAACCATGCTGCTCATTGTCCTCCTCAACGCCGTTGTGTCTGTCGTGGTGGAGGTAAGCACTGCCTGAGCTGCACAGCTGCCTTGTTGCTCGGGGACCCGGGTGTTGTGGAAAGCGGGAAAGTGGACAGGCAACGGGACAGACCCCCGAGTCTCAGCGCCCTCCCACGCACGGGCACTGCGTCTTCTCTGGCCTCGCCTGTGCTCCATGGGCAAGCGCGGGAAGAGCACAGTCCAGGCTGCGCTCAGCACGGAGTGAGGGAGCACATGTGAGCAAGGGCAGCGGAGAAGCACAGTGGCCTGGCGGCACCCCATTCCCAGTGGCTGGGAAACCAGGGGCTGTGCCAGTGTCTGCTGCGAGGTAGGGTAAAATGTCCCATTTGAGGAAGTGCGGGGGGAGGCTTTTGCCAAGAACGGCGGAAAACACAACATGATGGCGAACCTTTTAGAGACCAAGCGCCCAAACGGCAGGCCCATACTCACTTACCTATCACAAAATGCCAACACTGCAGTTAAAGCTGAACATCCGGTGCTTGGCTGCTGGGGCGACTTGACTCGCGTGGTGGCAGAGAGGCTGCAGCACGAATGCCACGGGTTCGCCACCACCGACTGACAGCAGGGCTTCATTGAACACGTAAAATGCTGAGTGTTAGGGACTTTTCTCATTTCAACATTGGTCACTGGAGCTTGGAATTTCCTTTTGAATGACCTGCAGGAGTCTTCTGTACTCTGGGCTCTGTCTGTCACCTACTTACTCTCCTGTTAGGATCTCCTTTATTTGGACTGGCTCCTTTAAAAGGAGCTAGCAAGCTCTCATTGACTGCTTATTAATAAATGCTGGTGTTTAAGTTAGGAGTTTCCTAGAGTAGGCTTTTGAGTCACAATGAAGGCAACTTGTGGGGAAACATTTTAGTGATAATGATTCTCTCTTTAGGAACTCTGCTTACTTGCAGCTGTCCTGGTAAAAAGATGACTTGGTATTAGATTTGAGAGATGGCAGGTGGCAGACAGCATGGCTTTTTGGAGTAAACTTTGAAGTTCGCCAGTGAAATAGATTTTTTCTGTGACAGATGCTAGAAAGCATATCTTAAGAAATCATTCTACAGCATTCCATTTTCTACAATATAAACTTACGTTTTCACTTAAATGTTACTATTCTTGCTTATTAAAGAATCATTTGTGTTGACAATTAATGATAGATATTCAGTGAAAATGATTCATTGTTAACAAACAGGCTTCAAATTAATAAGCATTGTTTGAGCCCGGGGGAGCACTAAGGAGTCTAGAAAAGCCATATTTTGTAGAAGATTTAGCAGTCCCCCTTAGCGATTGTATTTGTTACAGAATTCCTGGTGTTCTTCAGCCATTTGCAATATTAATTGAAGTTCTGTATATGAAAATCAAACCATGTTTTTGACTAATGATGCTCCAGCTGTGTGAGTGATTTTTAAATGTGCATGTTACAAAAGAACGGCTTGGTCATTTTTAATTCTCACCCTACTGGACTATCTCTCAGAGCTTCTTCCTTGACATGGTCCTTTGGAAAGTTGTGTTCAATCGAGACAGACAAGGAGAGTGCCGCTTCAGCACCACAGCGCCGCCACAGGTCGGGAGTAAGCGCCTGCCTTCGTCCCACGCATCCTCGCTTCCAGTTGTGCACCCTGCGCGCTAGGGTATCCGTGTGCTGCTGCCTCCTTCCCCTGTGCCCCCCGTTGCCTTTCTCTGTGGAGTCCTAGAAAACTCAGGGCAAGTATTTGTTAGAGCTTTTCAGGACTCCCGCCGTTCCATAAGTCTCCATCCCAGCTCCACCGCTCTGTGTGGAGGGTGTGGTCCGCAAAGGTGAGAGTGTGTTGTTCTCCCACCCCGTCCGCTTTGTGTTTGTGTTGTTGGTTTTCATGGTCTCGTTAGGGGTAAGCAATGCTCATGTAAAGTTTTGAAATTGAAACTTTTCTTCTTGGATTAGAATCCAAAGGTTGAAATTTTAAGAAAGTGTTTCTGATGTGTCTTAATGTTTGGCTTCCCCCAGTGTCTGTCTCTCTCGCATTAGGAAAATGGTATGTTCATTTCAAGCAAGCATGGCTAGGATTTTTGGGGTCAGTTAAATCACCTGCTATTTGAAAAGTATCACAAGCTCTCTGGGTAAAAAGAGAAAGAAACAGATAAGGAGTGAAACCCCTTTCCCAGCGTCAGGGTGCTGAGGGCAGCTGTGATGAAGAAAGAGTACAGATTTCCTTGAGTCAGGGCCCTGGGCACCAGCTGTGTGGAGAGTGCCTGGCAGTGAGCCCTCGCTCCTCTGTACCTGACCTCTGCTCTCTGTAGGGGAGCAAGGTGCCACCCAAGCCATAGGGACACTCAGAGTTCAAAGGAACTCGGGGCATTTCTCAGGGTACCAGTCACTTCGTTTTAGCCACCTTTTACCTAAGTGGCAACTTCTGAGCTTTCTGTAGGCGATTGAGCAGGCTCAGTGTCCAGGTATAGTTCCACGGGGTAGCTCCCTAAGAGGTCCTCTGTCTGTGCTTTTTAAATAGTGTGTGGCAAATTGTGGTGTACTTGAGATGAAGGGTTGAGTGGAGTCATCTGCAGTTCTTTCTCATGCCAAGAGCTGTCCTAAGTGCTCAGGGCCTTCACTACAACCTCTCTGGGCCTGTATTTTCCCTTTTGCTGCCTTTACTGTGTTAGTTCAGAGGTTTAACCTGGCCTCTTATCTCAAGTCCTTGACCAGGCACAAGCCTAGGGGAAAATTTAAATTGAGCTTTCCTCTTCTCCAAAGGGATACCCAACTATCAGACTGAGCCAGTGAGGAGGAAGAATTTTAGTCTTCCAGTTCTGTGGTCATGATTAAGAAAGCACTTTTGATGACTGGCCTTAGAGCTAGAGTTCTTACGGCACCTTAGCACAGAATGCGACACTGCTGTCACCTGCCACTTGCCTGTGTCCGTGTTTGTGGTCCTTTATGGGCCCATCAGGTAAGTCGTGGGGGGCCGTGTGACTGTCGCCCAGGGGACGCTTGGCAGTGTCAGGGACAGGGTCGGTGGGGACGGTGAAGCAAGGGGGCAGCTGTTGGCAGGTAGAGTGCTGCAGGTCAGAGCTGCTGAGCAGCGACCCTTCGGTGCACAGGACCTCGCCGCCTCGCGAGGACTCAGTAGCCCCGAGGGCTGCGGTGCCGCAGTTGGCGAGCCCTACTTTAAGGTGGACAGGAAAGCAAGGGAGTGTGCCTGTGTACTGAGGCCTTCTCTGGTGCTGTAGCCCCTCCCCACCCTCCGCTTGCAGGTCTCCTCCACGCCTGCGACAGTCCCATGAGGTCTTTGCAGACTGCAGCTCCTGGCTTCTGTGTTAGTGCCGGGGAAGAAGCACCCCTCTCTTCTTTTACTTTCTTACCATGTAGATGGGGGCTGTGGATTACGGTAAAAGTTGCAAAGCTAGAAACCCCGAACTAGCTTCAGGTTGATGGTTGACTTGGGAGGCCAAGAAACTCACTTGGAAGTCTCTGCAAGGCACCGTCCACCTCCAGGGGCCTCCCAGACCTAGGATATTTCTGACTCCATTTTATGCAGCTGAACTGACCCACTTTCCACCCTCAGGCATCTCATGAAGGGCAGAACTGGAACTGAAGCCAGGATTTCACATTTTAAGAGAGGCGCTTTTTCCTTTGTGCCACATGCTTCCCATCCGTCTTTTGGGAGATGAAGAGATGAGACTAGCAGAGTGGTCCAGGAGCGGGACAGGGACCCGCAGTAGCTACCGTTACCAGCTGCTTTGTGGTGGGCATGGGTAGGAGTAGCTTTACTGTCTGCCACCAGTTCTTACAGCCAGGGAAACAGTTTTAGATTTCTGTAGCACAGGCCCCTATCCATGCTTTAAAGACCATTTTACTGGGCATTGTAGACATGACATCCTGCCTGGCCCCCTGAACATTCATGTAGCTCGCCTGGTTCATAGCAGAAATTTTGCTTTTACCTTTTATGTGTGTGTGTGTACTGAGGGTCAGCAGGCTTTGTGCGTGCTTGGCGATCCCATAGTGATTCTTCAGCCGTTCAGTAACCTCAGTAAATGTCTACTGAATGAAATTAAGGAAGCCACTGGCAGATAATTACAGTTTAAGCCATTATATGGAGCCATATATTCCTGCAATGTTCTTTAGCAGCCTTAGATATTAATAGCTATTTTCTAACAAATACTCTCAATGTACCAATGATTTTAAGTCGGGATATTCATAAGAAATGCCCGAATCACACTTGACCTGGGTGACCAACCTGTTCTGGGGTTTCCTAGAGCTCGCTCCTCTGAGGAGGTCTGTGCCCGCTCTCCTGGGAAGCAGTTGTGTGTACCGGGCATCGAAGAGTGGAAGCCCTTTGGAGGAGATGTAGTGCTGGCCTCGTACTGGCTGTGTACTTCGATCCTGCTGCAGCTGCTTGCTTGATAAGCCCAAGCGTTACGTGTTGTCTTTATGCCGTGCAGACTCTCACTGGAGCTCATGTAGAGCTCACTGGAGAGCTCAGTCTCATTGGATCGGAGTGGGAAACACAGAAACCACAGTACTGTGATGATATTTTTCATTCAGGCATCACCTTATGTTTTAAATGTCACCCATGAGGACACCTCCTGAGATAATCTGAACAGCTAAGAATGTCTGAGAACCAAGAGAGTTAAAGCCATAGTGTCCTTGAAGGTCCTTGTGGAGGCTCTGCTGAGAGAGGATAGCCTCTTCTCTGAGGGAATAATTTTTTTGTTGGGGGGATAATATTTTTTAAAAATTACTTTTTTGTTTTGTTTTATTTCTTGAGACAGGATCTCACTTTGTAGTCCAGGCTGGCCTTGAACTCACTATGTAGTCCAGCCTGCCCAGGAGACCACAGAGCTGCTTCTTCCTCAGCCTCCCAAGTGCTGGGATTATGGGCATGTGCCACCATGCCTGGCATTAAAATATTTTATTTATTATGAGACAGAGTATTTCTGTGGAGTTCAGGCCGGCCTTGAGCTCACTGTATAGCCCAGGCTACCCAGGAACTTGCAATGATCCTCCGGCCTTAGCCTCCAGAGTGCCGGGATTACAAATATATGCCCCTATGCCTGGCTCTGAACGGATAAATTTGGTCTCCACCGTTTCTTTCAGAAGCAAGTCCCGAGTCCAGCTGCTCTGCCTGCCGTACTCTCCTGCTTTGGGGGCTTAGGGCCTGGAAGTGTGGGTTGTCCCTGTGCTCATGCCAGACTCCACGCCCTCTGCCACGTCGCCTCCGCACTGCGTGATGCTCGCCTCCCCTCATCACCTCCTCCCACCCCACCCCGGCCCATCCCAGCATGGCCGTCATGCTGTAGTTCTGTGCCCGTGACACTCGTTGTGTCTGAGGATGTGAGTGACATGCTTGTATGAGTTACCTGTGCTTGCATGTAGTATTTTATGTGTGATACTTGGGAGGATGAAAGTGTAAGAAAAATGTGTTTCTAATGGGAAGTGGAGTTGGGAAATTCCTGGTGTTCCTTATGACTTAAACTTTTAATTTAAATTAAATTTCATTTAAATTAAAAATTTAAATGGAATAAAGTTTAATTTCATTTAAATGCACACTTTTTAATGAGGTGAGGAATTTTAAATAACGCACCCTTGAATATAAAAGGCTTGCAGATCAGTTGTAATTTACTGTCGGGCCTCACTGTGTGCAGGTGGGAACCTGCGTCAGGACTGAGTGTGTCTAAATCCACCAGCCTCTGGTTTGGCTTCTGCCTCGGCCTCTCGTGAACCCCGGAGGCTCACCGGATAGATGAAGCCTGTTAGGCTCTACTGTTTCTCTCTCTTTTTTGGAGTCAGCAGTCACCATGAGCCTTTTTTCCATGAGCCTTTAACAGTGCTACTTCCATAAAATGAAAAATGACAGCTTTCACATTGATTGAGGAACAGTGATCTTTTCTATAGTTGGACTCAAGAATTGAAACACTGGAAAAAAGTAAACCCAGGGTAGTGAGCCGCCCTCTAGGTTAAATCCTGAGCCTTTGTGCGCTGCACTGGACAGGATCGCTCGTCTGCCATGCGGTCACCCATGACAACCTGGGCACAGGGATGTCTGCTGCTCCCGGCACTGTTTTCCTGTGGGTTAATTTAAGGGGCTGGTAATACAGTACAGTAACTCTGTCTCTGTTCCGTTGATAGATGATGCATCTTTGGGTCTTCTTCCCAGGGAATGCAGTCAGCTGCCTGTGACCACAGCTTGGCCTGTCAGCCTTTGGTAGCATGCAGCGCTGGGAGCTTTGGTAGCAGACTCGACCAGAGACCTTTGCAGTTGCCTGTCATGTTCTGAGGGACATCAGAAGAGGAAGAGTAGTTGGTGCCCATCTCCATAAAATGAGAAAGATGTCTCAAATGAATAGAGGAAAGAAATTTAAAAGCTTCATTTAAAAGTATTTTTGAGTCAGGTGTGATGGCACACACCTGCCTGTAATCCCAGGACTCTGAAAGGTGAGGCAGAATAATCACAAGTTCGAACACAGCCTGGGATACAGCCGGGGATACTTTGTGAGACCCTCTCTCAGAATTTAAAAAGGCTGTGGGGGACCGGGGATATAGCTCAGCAGCGCAGCACCTGCCTGGCAAGCGCAAGGTCCTGAGTTCAATTCCCAGTACCCCCCAAAAAAAAGCTGGGGAAATAGGTCCGTGCAGAGCCCTGGAGTTCAGTGCCCCGCCCCGCTAAAGGTACTTCTGCTGTGCTGTTTGGCCCCTCTTAGCCACACATTTCAAATGTGTGTTATGCAGACTTGCCTCTGGGGCATGGCGTTTTGGTGTTCCCGTTAGCATGAGCACCGGTTGTGTAGTGTCTTCCAGGCTTGGGGCTGAGAGGAGTGGTAGTTGTAGGCTAGGTTATGCTGATTGGCTTGAGTTTAACCCAGGAGAAGCAGCAGCAGGACAGTGAACTGACCGACTTCAGAGGTGACTGCTGCTGTGGGTCTTAGGGTTTTGCTGCGTTGGTTTCCAGTTTTGAGCGAGAGGAACTCTGAAGGCACCTTCTGGCCTCTGTTGAATTTATATTTCTAGACATTAACCGGGGACTCAAGGTGCATTCGTTAGTAACTTCAGGATCAGTGAGGAGGATTTCAGCGGTGACAGAGATTTTTAAAATAATACTAAGAAACAGTAGCTGATTTTACCCTTTCCTATGGACCACCTTCGAGTGTGGAGCACCATCACCGTCATCGCAAAGTGAAAATACTGTTTTGTGTTGGTGAGAATGTGGTTTTAAAAGAGGTTTTTGGAATTAAACATGACCTTAGTCCTAATTTTGACTCAACAGTATTTTCTTCAGGCTTGGAAAGGGGATGTTCACAGTAACTGTTATTTACCACTGTACAAGGTCAAGTGGCTGAGTTCCCAGGAGCAATAGTACCAGAAGATAGTTTGGGATCGAATATAAGAATTTACAAATTAAATATTGAAATGATTTTCTAAATAAATTTATTCTTAATATATTTGTTACTCTGTATCTAGATGTGCAACTTACAAATTTTTATCAGTACGCCAGAAAATAGGTACATAAAAACTAAATAAAATGAAGTAAATTACAGGGTAACTGTACACAGAGGACCCAAAAAATCTAATCTTAAAGATGATCTTTTCCTAGCCAGGCCCAGCGGCTCACGCCTGTAATCCCAGCACTCAGGAGGCTGAGGCAGGAGATTGTTGGGAGTTCAAGACCAGCCTGAACTGCATAGTGAGACCCTGTCTCAAAAAAGACAAAAACAAGGGGTGAGGATATAGCTCAGTGGCACAAGCACCTGCCTGGCAAGTACAAGGTCCTGAGTTCGATTCCTGGCACCAAAAAACAAGAACAAAACAAAAAAATGATCTGTCCCTAAATAATTGAAAACTGGCTTTTTTACATGTATTTTTTTTTGTTTGTTCATTTATTTGTCGTGCTCAGGAGTCATTTCCTCTTGTTCTTCTGTGCCAATGTATGCATTGACAAACCCGTTAAAAGAAAAGAGGAACCCTTTAATCAACTAGGGTGCTCTTTTTAATTGTCTGACTTTCTTAGGAGTCGGTGGACCGGTGGGGGAAATGCTGCTTTTCCTGGGCGGCCCTGCGCTGTCGGAAGAAGACTCCAAAGGCGAAGTACATGTACCTGGCACAGGAGCTGCTGGTTGACCCCGAGTGGCCACCGAAACCCCAGACAACAACAGAGGCCAAAGTTTTGTCCAAGGAGAATGGGTCGTGTCAGGTCATCACCATCGCCGGCGACCCGGGCTCGGTGGCGTACTGACGCGGGGCTTGGGACTTCCTGATGCCGCGTGTCGGAGCGTGTGCTGCTCCACGCCCTGTCAGTTCTCAGAACAGTACTGGCCTCATAGTCAGTTACCTCTCAGGCCTTCCCTGTCTGCAGTCACCAACCTAAATATTACACACATTTCCAGAATTTTGGTTCTCACCCTCAGTGATACTTTGTTTTGGATACAAGAGGAACTTGGTGCATGAGGGGCTTGGGGAGTAGTTTCCTCTCCTATTTGCACAACTCCCGTCTTAGAAAAAATTCATATTTCTATTACAGACCCTAAATGTGTGATTGGTAAAAAATGGGTGTTGGTTAGCTGCCGGTGAAAACAAGTGGGGAGGCTGTTTCCTTTGATTCAGTCCTTCCAAAGATTCCGTGTGACCTGCGCCAGCTCCCTTCGGGAGTCAGGAGTGAGTTCAGTGGTGTTGCTTAGAGAGCTCAGGCTATTTCCATTACGGTTTTCCATTTTCTGTACAAACTGCCCGGGTTTGATTTTTGTAATCAGCAGGCGCGCTCCTGCCTCTGCGATGACCCCTCGCTGTGTGGTGGGTCTTGTGTGTGTGTGGAGTTGGGAGTCTGGTTTGCTTCAGTTTCATGTTGTGGAACCTTCCTCACTGAGAACAGAAGATGATTTCTTTTGGCAGTAGGTGTAGAACTACCTTTTTAATACCTCTTTACTCCTGTTTTTTCTTCAGGATTAATGTTATTTTAAATACCTTTTTATTTTTCCATTTTTGATTACCTAAAGACATAGGATGAGAGTGAATTTTGTTTTTTGATTTAGAATTTTACCTGAAAGTTTTTTAAGGTTTGCTGTATGAGTCTCCTATCAGTAACAAGGCTTTTACAGTAGAGCATTGGATTTGAATGACTGCTCTTTCCCAAAGCAGCGTGAGCTTGGCGAGAGTTTGTTCTGTGCCATCAGGGGGCGCCAGAGGTCTGAGTGCGTCTGTTCTGTTAGAAAGAAGCACAGGGCCGGGGCAAATTCCTGGGAGAAAAAAAACCTGAGGAAATACAGGTAAAAGACATTTGCAGAAGATGTGCAGAGAGTGTTTTTCACTTTTCTGTTTTACCTGGTTAATGTTTAAATTCTAAAGGAACTTAAGGTAGCTTTTAAAGTGCCGTTAAAAACGGGGTCCAGGGTTTGGCAGTGCCCAAGTTAGGATAAACATGGGGCGGTTGTTACTGTAAAATGGCCCTGAAATGTTCAACACACAGTTTTACCCTCTGCCCTTCCTTAACTACTCACGTGCTTGCGCATTTCACTCGAGCAGCTCATTATTTCCCGACACCAACTTACCGTTTAACCAGATGTTACCCAGACTTGTGGACCCAAACGCGGCTCATTCTTGGTGCCGCCGAGACCCAGCCAGAGTTGGCTGACTGTGGAAACGTGCATGGCACTCGGGTCAGCCTTCCTGCTGTTGCCACGGATGAGTCGTACAAAGTACGATCCGAGTTTTCTATCAGAATGCATAATAGGGTATCGACACACATTAGGTGATAAAAACAACTTCTCCACGAATGATCCAGTGAAGCTATGCATCTTAGACCTCTCAGGCTGTGAATTAGCACTGTTTTCTACAGTTCCTTATTCTCTTGTTTTCTATATTCATTTCTACATTCATTTTAAATATGCTCAAGTGCTGTTCTTCAGTGATTGCCAGAATTGTAAATTTTATTCTTTGGTTTCAATATTGAAGCATATAATTAAAGTGATCGCTAAATAGCAGCTCACAAATCCAGAGGATCAGATTGTATTTAACGTCTTTAACAGCATGATCATAAAGAGCTATTTTTGACACACGCAGGCTTGTACCATTCGGAGTCAGTAGGGTTTGGTAGGTCCCTGTCTGTGGTGTTCTAGAGGAACACCATTTAGGTAGATGGAAACCGTCTAGGCGGGGCGGGTTGGTCCCGTGGAGAATGTCGTTTGAAGGACGTCTGTGAAACCAGCTGTCAGTCTTCTCAGTGCCATCGATGGGCTGAGTCCTCTGTGGCTCACTGTTGCATAGTAGTCATTTTGGTTTTGAATTTTACCTTAAATTATTTGAGTGTATACAGAACTAAATTTAAAAATCTGTACATATATTATTTTGATGTATTAAGGTTGATAAATATTGCTGATTTAAATTTTATTTATGCACCTACAGGACAGAAATGTCCAGGAAAGTAATTGTTAAATAATGTTAATTGTTAAAATAACTTTTTAACTTTTTAAATAAATAACAAGATTTTTAATGTGTGTCTCCCTCAGGGTTGTTCAGGTCCCCTCCCTCAAATACAGTGCTGACTGTGTTCTCTGTCTTCTGGCACCGACGGCTGTAAGCTGTGCTGCAAGTGATGCTTGAATAAACGTGGCTAAGCCAACAACAAAATAAACGCTTTCTAGAGTAGTTTTATAATCCTTCAATTCAAAAGCTTTCCAGGTCGCACTCCCATTTAAGCAGAACCGTGGCAGTTTGAACTCTGCCCAGATGGTGGCAGCGCCGCGGTCTCCGAGGCCGGTGGGGACACCGCGTTCGGGTGCCTTCCCCAAACAGCAGCACGCCCGGCGGAGAGCACAAGCCGCGCGTTACGAAGACATTCTGATACTTCGTGCATGTAATTTTGACACATCTGAAAATAAGTTTTTGTATTTTTACGGTGGGAGGGGATAGGGCAGTTTTAACAAAGTAGGATGTTAATTTTTGTACAGTCGTGGGCATTTACACATATTTTTAATGTATTAAAATTTGATAATTATGTGCACATGAAATTAAGTTACTTCCTGTTATGATTTGTGAATTCCCTAAGACCTTGGATTTTTTAAGTAACTTTTTATCAGAAATGATACTTCATCTTTATATTTTTAAAATTGTATTGCTGCTCAAGAATGGTACCCTGTTGTCACGAAGGCATCCGTTCATGATTGTACGTTCAGCATTGTAAATGACCTTATGAATCTTTTTTGATTGAAGCTATTAAAATAAAAATCTAAATGATACGTCCATGTTTTTTTCTGTGTCTTCATATACTTGGTACTTAGGTGAATACTGCCCTCTGAATTTATTTTCCTACGTAATACTTCATCTTTTTTTTTTTCATTTTGAACAAGAGGTTTATTTAAACAAGACACTTGACTTAAAGAGAACTACCTAGTATTCTTTTTTCTTCTTTTAAAGAGTAATTTACTCCTACTTAAAGACAGATTGCCCTAAATGTAACAGCTGTGTACAAAAAAAATTATAAAATTGTCCTTGGTTTTACAATGATAAATGAAAAACACTAAAATTCTCTAATCAAACAAAGTACGCGGGGATTTTCGTGTTATCTTTTCTGTGAAAGCAGAGCGAAATAACTTAGAAATACAAAGAAAGAGCGACAAGCAGGCCACTAATGGAGAAAGGGGTTATTTTCACAGAACCAGTAATTCCCCATCCCGTCTCCATTTGATGGCAATCAAAGCACTGTTGGCCATTTAGTAAAAAAAAAGCAGTGAGCTTGTGCACCTACACCAGATACTTCATGGACAGTACAGGAGTGGGGCAGAGGTAAGTGGAGAACAGAAAACTATACTGTAGTAGTCAGGATGTGGTGGAACCAAATGGCAATTTTCTAATTGAGAATGTATTCTTGGTCTGCAAGAACAGTGTTCTGGAGTTCGGTTGTTGCAGGTTCCCTTTCTAGTAGACACCTCCTGTCTGCTGCTGGAACGTGTCAGTGGTATCTTCATCCTCCATTTCCAGCTGTGCAGGTGTGTGTGTTCCATTGGATGGCTGTCCGTCACATCGGAATCTGATCTGCCTCATTGACAAAGCCTGTCCACAGGAGGCTTTCTTCAGTTGACTAAGTGGTGTGTGCCTCTTAATCTTAAACTGTGCCACAGAACCATCCTGCCCCGCCACCTTCACATTAACACGATCCTTGTTCTCAGTCTTGACTCCTGCCGTGGGCTTTTTGTCGGCCATAGCGAGCACCCAAGTCTTCACTGCCGTTTCACAGAAGAAGTACCAGGAATGAGCACCCAAGCAGCACCAGGAGCGGCAGAAGAAGGCAGCAGCAGTGGCCGAGGAAGAGGGCGCCCATCATTTCTTTTTTAACTTCGGAGTTGTGAAGACAGAAGAAGAGTGCTATGGGTCTGCACCCATCCTGGGGACGCATTGCAGAGCTGCTGTCCGTGTCAGGAGGGCCGGGGCGGGTGGTGGGGAGAGGCAGGGCTTACTGTCTGCCCAGAGCTGTGAGATCTGGCCGTCCTGTGGCACCCCAGATGCAGAAAGAGTATGAGGAAGGACAGAGGGACGCTGGGGCTAAGTAATGGCGGTAGGAGTCACAGAGAAGCCAAGTTTGTGTCCAGCTTTCGTGGTCAGGCGGCAGGTGTTTCCGGTGTCCCCGCTTCTCCAGGAGAGAGACTGGAAAGCTTGATGGGCTGGGCGAAGGCCTCACCGGAGCCAGGATGCAGAGGGACAGAAAGGACAGCTGCTTACCCTGACGGAGGGCCAGACATTGACGTCTAACATACGACACACACATCAGACCTTGGAGGATCTGAGTCCCAAATGCTAGTGACAAAACCAAAAGTTGAGGGAATATGGGAGAATAGTCTTCTGACTGGGGAGGTGGGCTGAGTAGACATAAAAGGCACAAATTGTGAAGGAAAAGAGTAACATTATTTCTTAGGACCTAGGTCCAGAGAAAGACACTGTAGAGAAGGTCAGACAAGCCCCAAACTAGCTGGGGACGGGCGTGACCCCGACGTCCAGAAGGGTTAATAGCCAGCACAGTACCTACCGCGCAGCTGTGGGCCAGAAGCGGGCGAAGCACAAGTGGTCCTTAATTCTATGAAAAGGTTCAAGTCGTCCTTGAAACACCACGGTAAAGCCCTGCTGCCGAGGTGTAGCTACTCCGTGGTGGTCCTGTCCCTAGGGCCAGTGTGTAGAAGGCTTGTTGCCAGCTGGTGGCACTGCATGCCGGAGACTGGGAGGCGGAGTCCAGCTGGAGAAAGTGGGTCCTGCGACAATCTCCCCACCACCAGGCCGGGAGGAGAAGCAAACCACACAGTGGCAAATAGACTGCAGCTGGAAGAAATCTTTCATTTTTAATTTAATTTTTTTTTTTTTTTTTTTTTTTTTTTTGAGACGGTCTCAAAGTGCAGTTCAGGTTGTCCTTGAGCTCACTATGTAGCCTAGGCTGGATTCAAACTCAACAGTGATCCTCCTGCCTCAGCCTCCCTGAGAGCTGAGATTACAGGCCCTGCAGCACCACGCCTGGCTAAATCTTTTTTTAAACTGACTATCTCAGTATTCTGTTGTGATAGAAAGCTGTGACAACTTCTTGTGGTACTTAGGTGAATAAGTGCCTAAGTACTTAGGTACAATAACAGTTGTTAACACAGGGTCTTGCTCTGTAGCCTACTGGCCTTGAACTTGAGATCCCCCTGCCACAGCCTTCTGAGTACTGGGATTACAGGTGTGTGCCACCACACTTGGGTCAACCTTTTTTTTTTTTTTCAAAGAGCATTGGGCAGAGATGTGAAGCAGTTGTTAGACTTCCCTCAAAAGACAGGGTGAAGAACTGGCACAGTGTGGCTTGAAAAGGCAGTGTGGCCCTTCTGGGGGGTAGCTGCTGTGATGATGTCTTCCCAGCATGACAGAAGCCAGACGAGGCCGTTTATGGAAAAGCTCTTCTGCTGCCACTGAGCTTCCACAGTGAGACCCAAGTTGCGTGTGGTCTCTGCGGGTTTGCAGATAATTGCCACCACACACTGCACGCGGCCCTCTGAGATAGGGACCGGCCCTGGCTGTGTTCCGGTGAAGTCCTTATCCTCAGGATGCAGGGACATGGCCTCTTCCTCAGGCAAGTGCAGGATCACACGCATAGCCCTAAGCCTTTCAGTCCCTTTGGGGTGGACAGTCATTTCAGGTAAGGCAAACATTTTTAAAATTTAAATTTAAAAAAGGCTGTGTGTGCGCTTAGGATGTAAAATTTGGAACAATGAACACTAAAATTTAATTTGGTGGTGAAGGTTGTTGAAGGTTAGTATTACTGTGTGTTTTTGCAGATAATTGTATGCCCCAAGTATTACTTTGGTTAAGCATCTTGGTAGGTCCTTATTTATGACTCTCAGTACAGCCCTCAAATTCTGTGATCCCAGTTACTTAACTTTCCTGCGCCTCCATGCCATCGTCCTTGAGTTCAGGATAATAATCGTACCCACATCATAGTTACTGAAAAGATTAGGTGAACCTACTGTACAATGCCGAGAGTCACGCCTGGCATTAAGCGGTGGGTAACTGATTGGCATCTTTCTTAGTTTGAAAATGCTTTCGTCTCAATGCTTTAAATTGGGAGTAAAAATCAATCCACAGTGAGACATGGCAGTGCAGAACGATGCCTTTGCCCCCTCAGGAAGATCTGCCCTCCTGAGGAACGAGGGCGTCTCTGCTGTATGTGGACAGAGCGCAGGCGGGCAGCGAGCCTTCGGGGAAAAGGGCTTCCACCCAGCAGCATGCCCACGGTCCCGGGATCTGCGCGCAGCGCTGCGGCTCTGCTGCTGGCCGCGCTACTGTGTGCGTTACTGGGGCTACCGCGCGTGCAGCCCTGGCCCTGCCCGCAGGCCTGCTCGTGCTGGTTCCGCGACTCCGCGCAGTGCTCGCGCAGCCCAGTGGCGCGCGTCCCCGCGCTCGGCCTGCCCGCCAACCTCACGCACCTGCTGCTCTTCCATATGGGCCCTGGCGCCCTGCACAACGACAGCTTCCGCGGCATGACCGTCCTGCAGCGCCTGATCCTCTCCGATAGCCCCATCTCCGCCGTCGCCCCGGGCACCTTCGACGACCTGATCAAGCTGAAAACCCTGAGACTGTCCCGCAACAACATCCCGCACCTTCCCCGCGCTCTCCTGGACAGGACGCTGCTCCTGGAGCAGCTGTTCCTGGACCGCAACGCCCTGCGAACCATTGACCCTGACCTGTTCCGGAACCTGGCCAACCTGCAGGAGCTCTCTCTGAGCCACAACCAACTCGCCTCGCTCCCTGCAAACCTCTTCGAGAGACTGGGGAGGCTGAAAGTGCTGGATCTATCCGGGAACAACCTGACGCACCTGCCCGAGGGACTGCTCGGTGCCCAGGCCAAACTCCAGGAGCTCCTGCTGCGCTCGAACCAGCTCGTGTCGCTGGACTCAGGGCTGCTGGACAGCCTGAGCGCCCTGGAGCGGCTGGAGCTCGATCGGAACCGCATCCGCTCCATCGCCCCCGGCGCCTTCGACCGCCTGGGAAACCTGAGCTCGCTGACGCTGGCGAGAAACCGCCTGGAGCTGCTGCCGCCCGGCCTCTTCCTGCACGAGCCCCGGCTGACGCTGCTCACGCTCTTCGAGAACCCCCTGGCCCAGCTGCCTGGGGTGCTCTTCGGGCCCATGCCGGGCCTGCGCGAGCTAAGCCTCAACGGCACCCGGCTGCGCGCCCTGCCCCGCGCGCTGCTGCGCAACCTCAGCTCCCTGGAGCGCCTGCGGCTCGATCACAACCGGCTGGAGGCGCTGCCGGGCGACGCGTTCGCGGCCCTGCCCCGGCTCGCCGAGGTCCTGCTGGGCCACAACCCCTGGCGGTGCGACTGCGGCCTGTGGCCGTTCCTCGAGTGGCTGCGGCAGCACCCGGGCGTGGTGGGCCGGGCCGAGCCCCCGCGGTGCTCCGGCCCAGAGCCGCGCGCCGGCCTGGAGCTCTGGGCTCTGCTGGAGGGCGACCCCTGGTGCCCGAGCCCGCGGGGCGCGCCTGCCCGTGCCCCGGCCCCGAGCGCCCACGGAGGATCCCCGGGCACTACCGCGGTGCCCAGCAGCTCGGATCCCTGGGCGCGCGTCCGGCCAGTGGCCGCGGGCGGGGAGGGTGAAGCTCACAGCCTCTTCTGGGCTCCGTACGTCCGGCTTCTAGCTGTCCAGGCCATCGTAACCGGGGTCATTGTGTTTGTTATGATCAAGATCGGCGGGCTCTTTCGGAAATTAATCAGGGAGAGGGCGCTTGTCTGAGTCCCTTGTCATCAAGGGAATCGTGAGCACAGTACTGTCAGGTGTGGCTCGGAAACTGCCCGGCCTGTCCCGGCGGCCCCCTGGGAGTTCCATTTATTTACAGCAGCCAAATAGATCCTTTGGTTTTCATTTCCTGGAACTGAGGGCCAGAGCCAGTTTACAAGCATTTTTGGAGCAGCGAACGTGTGACAGGTATATGAGAGTAATGGTAAGCTTGGTGTCTGGTTTATTGTGCTTGTATCATGTCCTCATCTGTTCTTCCAATTGAAAGCAGTTAAACCCTTGTTGCTTTAATTGGATGTCACAGGCTGGGGAGATGACGGCTATGGGTTTGTTCCCTCCCGGCGCCACCACTTACTAACTGCACTGGCCCTAGGCAGGACGCCCACATGCCTTCTCCGTGCCTGGCTTCTCTCACCCCGACGAGACAAAATGTCCCAACCCCATGAGTCGCTGTGCGCATCCCTGGCCACCAAGCCTGTAAAGCTTAACGCAGTGCCCTGCATTCAATAAATGCCCGGTGGGTGACAGCTGTGATTACTAAAGCGATTATTATTAGTATCAGGATTCCTGAAGACGAGCTTTGAGTTGGTGTTTCCTTCTGTGTATGAAAGTAAGAGCAAACTTTCTCAAACTGGAGGTTCCATTCAGATCAGCCTAGTGTCCCCCTGTGGTTGGTGTCAGCCCAGTGTGGCCACGGTCACAGGCCAGAGCAATGGATCCTCCGACAACATCCATTGGCAGGGGACAGGAAGAGCTGGGTCCTGGCTAAAACCTCCTCTTGCTAGAGACTTCACAGGCCCAGTAGACTCACCTTGCCTTGTTTGTTTCCAAATTTTGAAACTGCCTGCAGCTTAAAACCTAGATGTTTCTTCTTTTTTTTTTTAATTTTAAAAATAAAAGGAGGAAAACATTAACAGACGAACAACCTTTTACAAAATAGCAAAAGAACAGTACGGACAATACAGAGTCACCAACAGAGTGGTAGGAAATTAACAATGCTTGTTGTATTACATATTGATATCTTCAAAGTGAAAAGCCAGATGTTTCTGATGGAATACAGACTCGGTTCTAACTGCTGGCACACTCAGTCGAGCTTCCCGGCTCTCTAAGCCTGCCCAGTGAGGATAATAGTGGTCCCTCCCTTGTGGCAAGGATGAAATGAAAGCAATGAGGTAATGCCCGTCAGAGGAAGTCTACGGCTGTGACAGAAATCGCCCGTGCTGATCAGCTCCTTCAGAACACACGGCGCTCTGACAGTTCTCAGAGCCTCGCAAATGCGTGTCTCACTCTGTGCCGAGCACATTTCTAAGGGGAGGGTCAGAGCCGTGGATAAAGCAGGGTGCACAGTGCCAGGTTGTATGCTGTGAACCCTCCAGTATGACCTCACCCCCGTCACCCTCAGACATTCAGGACCGCATTGGGGGGGGGCGGGGACTGCTCGACTGTGCTTTGTGTAGAAAATACACTTCGCTGTGTTTGCTTTTTTTTTTTTTTTTTAAACAGAATAAAACACAACAGATGAAGTGGACGGCTCCTGTATATATCTCTTCCCGAATTCCACACTTTTCTTCTCTCCTTGGAAATAACCTGCTTCATAAATGTGGTGTTTTATGTCCCGATGCGTGTGTTTATGCTCTTTCTATGTGTGTCCACAGCCCTGAACACACCGAGGCTACGCGCTGCACATTTCCAAATGTTGCATAAATGATGCTACTATGGCTACAACATTGACTTTTTTTCTGAGCTAAAGTACTTCTCAGATTTAACTCTGTGATGTATTAGGCTCTAGTTTACGTATTTTATTTTTTATTTATTTATTTTTTTTGTGGTGCCGGGGATAGAACTCATGACCTCATGCTTGCTAGGCAGGCGCTGTGCCACTGAGCTATATCCCCGGCCTAGTTTATTTTAATAGCTGTGTGAGTACATTACAGTTTACCTGTTCCTTTATTGATGAACATTGATTTCTGTGGTTTCTCTTTCCTTTTTATTCTCTTCCTCCACTCTTGTTAATGTCTGATTTTTTAGTTTTGGTCAGTCTGAGCACTATGAAATGGTATCTCATTTATGTATTTCCCTGACAAGTAGTAAAGTTGAGATTGTTTTTAAATGTTTATTGACCATTCAGGTTTCTTTGAGTATTGCCTATTCATATACGCTGACCAATTTACAATGACACCATTGTATTGGATTATAGGATTTTTCTCACATATGCAGACACTTGTATAATTTACACACTTCCTATAATTTGTATACTTTGGGGTTATCCTAGTTATGGCTCCTTGTCTCTCTATTATCATCTTTTGTTGAATAGCACTTCTCTTTTGTTTCTTTTTCTTCTGGTCTGCATGTCAGACTCAGGACCTTGAACATGGTAGGCAACTGCTACAACTAAAAAAGTTCCCCTTTTAATTTAGTCATATTAAGCAATATACTACTATAGTTCATGTCTTAAAAAATCTTGTTTAAGAAATTTCCTCCTATCAAGAAAAAAAATTTCTTCCTCCTTTCAGATCACAAGGCACTCTTCTATGTTTTCTTCTAACAGTTTTGTTTTAGCTGTTTTGATCCTTACTCCACACGAGATTTGTTGTCATATAGGGTGCGGTGTAGAGAACCGACTGGAATCTTCCTGAGTGTAACATCCTGTCACCCCGACCACTGGTCAGTTCGTTTCCCCCGCTGGTCTCTTAATGCCACCGGGAGAATTTATCAAGTTTCCCCGAAAGCCTGTGTTGGTTTCTAGATTCTGCAGCCGGAACACGGTCTGTTTATTCAGCCCTATGTCACACTCAGCTTCATTATGGAGCTTTAATAATTTTGCTACGGAGTTCCCTTCCCACCGATTCTTCCACCTTGGTCCTTTACGCACATTTTAGGATCAGCAAGTCCTGCTCCACGGAAAAACCCTACTGGGATTTTGCTAGGAATTGCACTGAGTTTGTGAACTCATTTGTGGAAGAATTTGCATTTTTTTCTTTTTACAATACTTAGTGTTCTTGCCAGTAAACATGGTTTGTCTTTTCTAATATTTCAGAATTTTTTCATAAAAATCTACAGATTTTTGTTGGGTTTATTCCTACCTATTTCCTCTCTTTTTGACTTCGTGTTGCTAGTACAGATGATATAGTTTTTTTTTCCCCCCAGTACCAGGAATCGAACTCACGACGTCACGTTTGCCAGGCAGGCACTGTGCTGCTGAGCTAAATCCCCAGCCCTGAAATAGTTTTTAAAAACAGCATTTTGTAATGTTTTTGCCAGTATATGGGAATGAAATTTATTCTTACATACTTATACCTGGCAGTAATTTTAACAACTGGCTGCTGCTTATGAAAACCTCACATCTATGTCTTATTTATTTTTCTATTTTAAAAATTTTTATCAGCGTTGACTATATCCTTTATTCTCATTTTGATGAGAAATGGTAGTGAAGATCATCCTTAAAATCCTGACTGTAAATCAAATATTTCATCAATAAGTGTGGCATTTTCAGCCCTAGTTTGATAAATGTTTGTTACAGTCATGAAAAAAAGGTTAAATTGTATTGATTTTTGTCCTATAAGATACTTCTCTTTTTTTCTCCTTCAGTGTGTTTTTTTGTTTGTTTTTTGTTTTTTTTTCTGGTACCGGGAATCAAACTCACAACCTTGTGCTTGCCAGGCAGGCGCTGTGCTTCGGAGCTACATCCTTAGCCCCACCTTCAATATGTTAAAAAGGTAAAAAAAAAAAAGGGGGGCCGGGGATGTAGCTCAGCGGCACAGTGCCTGCCCAGCAAGCATGAGGTTGTGAGTTTGACTCCCAGTACAAAAAAAAAAAAAAAAAAGGTTAAAAAAAAATTTCGGATTTTGGAAAAGTAAACTGATCATTGTGTTCCTGAAGTAAACTAAAGCTCTTTAAAATATACTGCTGAATTCAGTTTGCAAATGTTTTGTTTAAAATTTTAAAGACCTGTTTGTTAATGAAATTTACTTGTAAGTTTTTTTTTTTTTAAATAGTATCTTTGGTTTGGTATTAAGTTATATAACTTCATGAACTGAGTGGAGGTATTCTTTCTGGAACAGTTTTTGTTTTTTTGTGTTTTTTTTTTTTTTGTCTTTTTTTGGAAACAGGGTCTCACTATGTAGTTCAGGCTGGCCTTGAGCTCACTTTGTAGCCCAGGCTGGTCTCAAACTCACCAATGATCCTCCTGCCTCAGCCTCCCAAGTGCTGAGATTACAGGCATGCTCCACCACGCCTGGCCTGGAACAGTTTATAAAAAGTGGGATCATCTTTGTCTCGAATGCCTCTGAAAACCTCCTTGGCCTGTTTTGTTGCTTGTGCTGTCCTGGCTGCCTCAATGTCCTGAATTGATTCGAAACACTGACCTTCCAGGGTCACTTTGACTTTGGGGAAGTCATACAGTGCCAGATCTGGTGCAGGTGGCTGAGCACACATGGTGCTGTTTTCACGAGCCTGGCTTTCTGTTGGATGGTGCTCAGCAGCAGCAGTCGCTGTATTTTTTATCACACTTTGTAAAGACACTCAGGAAAGAGGACTTCCAGAACTGCTTCAGAAAGTGCAAGGACAATGGGATGAGTGCGTTCAAAGCAAGGTGGAGAATTTTGAAGGGGGTTCATGGCCATGTGTCTTTTACTGTAATAAAAGTTTTAAAACTGTAAAACATTCACTACATATTTTGACCATGCCTTGTGTATCAGTTACCTCTTGCTGCATAATCTTGCCCAAATCTTGGTGCCCTAAAAGAATGGAACCTGTCATCCTGCAGTTTCTGACAGTCGGCACTTTGGGTGGTTCCGGCTCAGGTCTCCCTCTAGGGTGTCATCGAACGCCAGCTGCGGTGATGGTCACTGTCATCTTCACTGGCCTGGAGGATCTGCCTCCAAAACCTCCCACCTGCAGGCGTGCTGTGTCCTCTAACCTGCTGTGCATTATTGTAACTGAACGCCTGGCCCTGGGGACTTTAGGAAGGAAGGAAGTTTCACTCGCAGCTCTGGAGGTGCAAGCAGCCTGTGGTTGGTGTCCTGGTGCAGGCCCCTGGGGACCGGAAACGGTGCCTGCAGAAGGGACCTGGCCTGTGAGGTGGCCTCGTGTACCACCGCTGGGTGTCATGGAGCAACAACACACGCCACGGGAAAGGTATTCATTGTTTTTGTTCTTATTTTTTTAGTGACATTAGTTTCTGTCTTAATTGATTCAGCGTGCTACTCCCATTCCTGCCTACGGTGAGCCCTGGTCTGGCCCGACCACTCTGTCACTGTCCTCCCCTCTCCCCACCAGAACACACTTCTACTTTCAGGGCACCTTAAAACTAGACAAACAGCAATGACAACAAATGCACTGATTGTGCTTTTTTTTTTTTTTTTTT